GCTGTTGCAACAAATGTTCATAATTAATTTGAATAAATTACAAGTTAAGAAGAGCAGACATTTTTTTTTGGATTGAAAAAGTATCTAACTGTGAGACTAAAGCTTGAAACTGAATCGTGAATTTTCTGTATCGTTGCACCCGTACTAATGATGTTTTTCTAAACGTAATCTTTTCTTTGCTCAATAGGTTATGTAGGTTCTAAATGCTACCTAAAGCATCATTTGATAAAAGTTATTTGCATTTCTAAAATGATAATTTTAGCTACAATTTTTTCAATAAATACTGACAGACATTGGCCTTTGGCTCAGACCAAGTTTTGAATTTTGCCCCCCACCCCCTTGTAACTGATCCTGACCCCCCTGTGTTTAGACTATGTGTTTTGGATTATGCTCAGCTACTACCACACCAAATGTTAGCTCAATATCTGTAAAACTGAGTTATATTCAGCTTTTTGCATTTATAAGTTCAGTTTGTTGTGGTTTCCAGCATTAGATGAGTTTCAAAAGGTGATCTGTTTTAGATGCAGTGATTCTGAACATTTTATTGAAATCCATTCAGTAGGGTAGGAGATATAATGCTAACAGATTCTCATTTGCCTTTTAGAATCTTCTATGGTTTATGTAGCTTCTAACCTAATATTTTGACATGCCAAATCAATGTCTTTATAAAACGTAGGATCTTAGACCTGCAGACGGTTAAACTCTGTTTTTTGTTTCTTCTTCCTGTTCATATCTGACCAATCGCAGACCTGGTGGCGTCTCAGCTACATAGTTTCATCGGTTTCATATCAGAACGTGTGATTGTGCTGCAGCAATCTGTTCAACACTGAAGCTATTGTCCTGCTGCTAACGAGCGCACAGCCAAGGTCGTGAATCAGTCTGATTGTGAAGCGGTCAGAAGTTCTTATCGACGCGCTCCGTCCAGTTTCCCCCTGCGAGGTCAAACACAGGCCAGCCACCGAGTTTCTGAGAGAGACGGTGAAAGGAAAGCTGCTCCTTGTGTTTGCACACGATGTGGTTCAGCTTTTATCTGAACAGTGAACAGAGCTGAAGGACCGTTAATAAATTACACCAAGAAAGTTAAATTGTTCTGGGCTCAAGTCTCGGGAGAGGGAAAGGCATTTCCCGTTACATCCTGGTTATTTAGGAGTTTTTATAAAACTAAAATACCCCCAAAAAATACCGCACTAAACAAAAACCTTCAAATCAGATGATTAATCTTAATTACTTCAACGGAAATTAAATTAAAGGCAAAACGACAAAACTCTGGCTGTTTTAATTGTACCTTTATGATAACATGAGTGATCTCATGTTCTCATTATCTCAGATAATCTGTTAGCACTTAGAGCATCCTATAACTGGATTTTAGCTCATTGTCTGTAAGATTCATTGAGTTAGGCTGAGGTCATTGATGGTGTTTTCACAGTGTAAGGCCACGACCACACCTCACTAGATCGCTTCTTTTTATTCCCCTGCATCAGCACAAGCAGCCCCGTGCTGGAAGTCATCCATTTCACCCCGCCGGAGCTCGACCGATGACATTTGATTGCTTATATCTCCACGGGGGAACGTCCCAGGAACTTGCAACCACCTCCAGGTTGTAGCGGAGATCCAGAACTTTAAAAAAGCCATCTCGCACCAGGATCCGACGCTCAGAGCTGGTGCTAGAGGCTCCGGACTAAATTGAGTACTATATTGCCCGCCAAAATGCCTTTTTCGGCCGGTCGTTGGTTAATAGCTCCGCGGGGGAACGTCCCAGGAACTTGCAACCACCTCCAGTTTGTAGAAGAGGACCGTAGATCTGATGCTCAGAGTCCGCGGGAGAAGCAAACGAAGGTTGAAATTTCCTCCCGAAAATGTGTGTAAAATGCACTAAGTCGTTTGTAATTTGCTTGTAGCTCTGCGGGGGAATGTTACAGAGACTCCATTTAAGTATCAGCTTGTAATGTAGAACCAGAGCTTTAAAACCCAACCAGCCACTTCGGGATGCGACGCTCCTTGTCCGGGAGAGGGGGCTAAAACCACCCCGGCGGGAGGTCAGACGGTGCGTATTTTGGAGGTTTTTTTGCTTATTGCTCCGTGGGGGAACGTCACAGGGACTTCATTCAACTTTCACCTTATGGGGCAGAACCAGAGCTTTCAAACAAGACCAGCCACTCCGGGATGCAATGCTCAGAGCCGGTGCTAGTGGCTCCGCAGCAAGGTTGCGTTGCGCAGGCACCTGGGAATCAGCTGGCGGGCGACTGGTTGGGCACCCTTGATGTAGAGGAACATTTACCAACATCTGTCCCAATAACAGGTGTGGCTTAAAGACCAGCAATGTTCTCTTGATAGCTGGTGGGAATTGGTTATGAAACCAAGGAAGAAGATCATTGTGCTGCACCGCTGCCTTCACCATGAAGGGCAGGTGTGTTGTTCTAGTGTTGACTGTCACATTGTTTCATCTACTAATAAATGGTCAAAAAGTTCAAATCCTGCCGCTTTCCATTCAGGATATAAATCTTTATGATTTAAAAACTTTTCTAAAAACCAGGATTCTTTTCCAGAGGGTAACATACTCAACCTCATAGACGCCCTACACCAACAGAAATAAAAAGAAAAACATTTTTTTTAATTTCAGTGGGAAAAAAATGGGATGCAGTGATGATTATTTGACAAAGTCTCTTCAGTTGATTTAGAAAAACACCTGCCAGATGTTCATGAAGTTTGTTTTTTGCTTTAAAGACAAGGCCACAAGTTCACACTAGCCATGCTTCAGCCAATGCTTTTTTTATGAACATTTGGAAGAATCGCTTTTGAAAAGGTTGGAAACGAAAAATTAAAAAAAAAAAACTTCCTCAGTTTTGCAAAAACATTTTTACGCTCGCTTGAGGTGGTTTTTGGATTTTCTGAAAAATAGTTAATGCACAAAAGGGGAGATGGAAACACGTTTGTCTAATAAGTTCTGACATAGTGAACATTTACCTCACAGAAGTGATCAGCTGTTCCCACTGCTGGTGTTTTCCCATAACATGAAGAGAATTATATTTCTTTTTCCACATCTCCGGACATCATCTAACATTCCCAGTACTAGTTGATCTGACAGAATAATTACTAACTGCCTGATAGCAACACATTCCTGATAACTTCTCTCCATTGTCCAGAGATGTGTGGTCCCTGCTAGTCTCAACCTCTACTTCCTGTTTACTACAGCCAAGCGTAACCTCAACATCTGACGTAATTACACAGCCTGATTGATTCACTCCACGCCAGTAGATGGAAACACGCCTAATTCACTTTTTCCCCCTTTTTGTGACATTTTAAAAGCTCACTCAACGTTTGCATTAAAATTAGATGAACCGTGACTTATAAGAAAATATTTTTCTCTTTCTTTCTGTTACTTTTGTTGCCCAACGGCACATTGGCTAAGAAGAATGGAGAGAGAGTTTGAACCATCAATCCACTGGTTAGAATAGAATAGAATAGAATAGAATAGAATAGAATAGAATAGAATAGAATAGAATAGACGACTCTCCTAACCACTCAGCCACAGATGCCTCGAGTCCTCGGAGCTGAGAAGTGGCTGAGATCTGGTGCCACACAAGCTTAGTGAATCGTGGCCTCAGTCTGTTTTCTGTAAATGTCATAAAATAAATCAGCCAAAATCCAAAGAGACAAACCTATTTTCATCCTGCAGGTTTGAGTCGATGTCCACTTGTGGTTGACCTCTGACCTTTGCTAAAACAATTCATAAACCGTTTCCCGCCAGTTTTCTTGTGGGCATGTAGGGGTTAAAGGAGAAGTGACAGAAATCAGTGGAGTGTAAAAACTCTCAGATTTCCAGCTGCAGATGGGTGGAGGTTGTTTCAGAGTTCACTCCAGGAAACATTCAGAGGCTCTGCAGGAATCAGTTCAACACAAACTTTGTTTCATTTCTATAAAAGTTACACAGGAAGAAATAAACAAGTCTGCTTTTCAGGCCAGAGTTTATTAGATTTTTTTTTTTTCAAACCTTAAATGTAATGTGTTCAATCCCATCCAGTGGTAAAAAAATGTCTTAGTGTGTGTTGTAAATGACTTTCAGCTACCAACACATCAAATTTAATCCCATCATCTGTAAAACTGATTTAATCAGACACTTCTCTGCTCTTAAATTCAGTTGGTTGTGGTTGTCATCTTTTACGCAGTTGACACTGAAACTTAATCAGTTGTAATTACATTTCTAATTTTCACTGTCTGAAAGTTTAATCAAAACCAGTTCACTGGTTCAAGAGATATTTTGCTAACAGACAGACTGAGCTAACGTTACCTAGTGGCTGTATTTTAAGCAAAGATCTTATACAATCTCTTTGCACCCAGAGTATATTTTGTGGATCAGTCTCAGCTACCACCACATTAAATTGTAGCTGAATGTTTGTAAAACTGCCCGAAGCGTTGCCGTTCTCTTGTTTTCTTAAATCGGTCGGCTCTGGTGGCCATCTTGAATTGCTTTGGCTCAAGAAGATAATCAGTTGTAGATAAACATCCAGTGATTGTTTTCTGAGAGTTTTGTTAAAATCTATTCAGTGGTTCGTGAAATATTTTGCTAACAGACAGACTCACACAGACACAAAAACATGCTGTTAGAGCTCTTAGAAAAACTCTTCAACATGAGGATTATTTTAAAAGAAATATCAGATACTGGATCAGCTGAAGGTCCGGTCTGAGCGGCTGGTTCTGGTTCTGTGACAGCGGCTGTGTTTGGGGGAACGGAGACAACAACCAGCAGCAGGTGTAAACTGTTGCACCGCTCCTCTCCTGCTGGTTGGGATTATTTACAGTCAGGGTTTTTAGATTTAGTCTGCTTCATCTGAGGCAGGAAGCATCTCCCAAACACAAAGCGGGCCTCCAGGAACAATGTGGTGGTAAACAGATCCGAACCGACCCGCAGAGTTCTGCAGGATCGGACCACTTCCTCTGTGTTTTCCTCCTTCACATTTCGAGCTCCTCCTCAAACTGCCGTCTTCTTGTTTCTGTTCCAGATGAGCGCGAGGCGGTCCAGAAGAAGACCTTCACCAAGTGGGTCAACTCCCACCTGTCCCGGGTCTCCTGCAGAATCACGGACCTCTACATGGACCTGAGGGACGGGCGCATGCTCATCAAGCTGCTGGAGGTCCTGTCAGGAGAGAGACTGGTGGGTTGGGCTTTTATTTTGAAAGAGAGGCACTTTTCAGGAGAAACTAAAAGCTTTTATCTCCTTTTTAGATTTGTTCAATAACAGTTAAATAAATAAAATCCCACACCTAAAAGCTACACTGGAAAAGGCCAGTTTAAAAACTTAGTAAAAAATTTTTATTTAATTTTTTTTAGCTTGAAATAAACTAAAAGAAATCTGCCAGTGGAACAAGTGAAGATGAACTCGACAGGATTTCATAGAAATAAGACATTTTATCAGCTAAAGAGAAACATGAAAGTATCTGTGAAAACTCGTTCTGAGCAATATTTTACTAAAAACTGTAAGCTTTAGCTCATAATAAGCTGTGATGCTCAAAAGTAGTATTCTTCCCCTCAAAGGTAGCAACCTTTTTATTTTTTTTTAACTTGTTTAAAAATTAATTCAACTCATTTTTAGTTCCATAATTATGGTAATGCTCTGGACTCAGGTCCAAATCCCACTTCAAACAAGATTAAAAATTTATCATTTAAGACAAAATTATCTTTAAGTAAATATTCCCACTAGAATTAAGGGTTTGTGCAGCATTGAAAGTTTTTTCTCCCAACCAATCAGACACTCAAAAAACAGATAGTGGGTTTAATTAAAAATAATATTTCAGCTGCTTTCACTCAACTGAGTAAAAGTAAAGTATTTATTTTACGCTGACTTTAGGTAAATGTAAAGTTAACGTAAAGTAAATGCGTTCATTCTACTTGATTCAGTTGAGTGGAAAGAGTTAATGTTTTTTTTTATTAAATCCTGGTATCTGTTTTATGAGTGAGATGTCCTAAATTCAAAACATTTAAACTTTTTATTTAAGACCAAAAAAAAGAAAGCTATTCTTGCATCTAAACTCATTAATTTTATCCCACTGACATCCAGCGTTCAATCCTGCTTTCTCAGGTGACTCTTTGATTTATTTAAATAAAGAAAATTAAACACCTCCAACAAGCAGATTTGTCCTAATTCAAGTTAAATGTTGTTCTTGGAACAATTTTTTATGTTTGACAAACCTCACAGCAACTTTAAACTCTTGTGAAATTTATAAAAAAAAAAAAACTTTTGTTTAAGAAAGGGCTCAAAACGAGATGTTTTCCAGACTATTTTACTTAATAGTTTTAAGATATATTGTCTTAAAACAAGTTGTTCTATCTGGACTTACCGGTACATTAAGTTTGAGGAGAGGTTTTGACAAGAAATTAGAAAAACAAATATACATTATTTATATAAAATATATGTTTTACAGTGTAAGGCAGCGTCAAAAATAAATCAAAAGTCTTAAACTGATTAGATATTTAGATTTTTTTTGCTTAAATTTATAGAAAATCAAGACAAAAAAGATTTACAAAATGAAAAAGAACAGTTAAACACTGATTTAAGTCTGTCCTAAAATAAAAAGTGGTGGCTCCTCTATGAGATATTTTGCTAACACTTCATACAGTCAGGCTTGTTGTCGTCACCACAGAAACGGGAACGTTTCACAGATTCAGTTTAGTTAAAAATCCGTTTCCACAGCCCTGTGTCATGTGACTCGTCCTTTTCTTTCCTCCTCTTCCTCTCTGGACCCATCCCTCCGCTCTGCTGCCATCCGGCCTTTTCTCAAACTGTCGAACACACACAGAGAGGAGCCCAAGCCAGGATCCAGATCTTTTCTTTTTTCAGCTCTGATTGTTTTTCCGTTTCATGGACAGTTAGATTTTTTTATAGTAAAAAGAAAAAAAAATGAAACATGTCAAATGAAGATGGAAAACAAAAAGAAAATGCTGTGAATCAAAGAGAGATGGAGACCAGAGTGATGGTGACGTTTGGGGGGGATCAGTGGAGGGTTTCTGAGTTGTGAAAGGAGTCATTGAGAAACTTTGAGGGTTTATTTGGACCCAAACGCCTCCAGAGGCAGCGCAGGAATCTGACAGCGATCATCTGTTTCCAACTGCAGATGAAGGAAATCAAGTTTTTACTACAGGAATGTTTGTCCTGCTGGGCCCAAATCCTAAACAAACTATAAAAATTAAGCCTCTTTTTTTGTTATGAAACTGCAGGAAACAGGGTCCTCAGGTCATAATTCTGATGAAAATTCACCACCAACAAAAAGTTTTAATTCAAACAATTTCCACATTGATTTATCAGCATTATTTGAAAATATTTTTATGAAACACTGTTCAAAAACAACTTAAAAATATTTCAAAAATGTTTTAGTGGGCAGACACAGGAAGTAGTTTGTTGACCTGAATGGTCCAAGGTCAAGGATGAAACCTTCCCTCTGGTTCTACATCACTGATTGGATCAAAACATTCAGCTGAGGATGAATCAAAGTTTAATTTATTTATGTTCAGGTTACAGACAGGGATAACTTAAGGGATGCACCAGTAGATCAATATCTGATATTAATGTTACTGTTGTGGCCGATAACCGATATTTATAAATATTACACAAACACACAAATTATTTATTAAGGGTGTAACAATACATGTATTTGTGTCGAATCGTTCAGTACAGTGCTTTAGGTTCAATACACATCAAACAATACAGATTTTTAAGATTTATTTTATCTTCTGAAGATGCTGTGTGTTGCAGGATCTGTGGTCGACTGCTCCACCTAGGCTACACTGTCGAGCACAGATCCACTGAGAAACTTGCTGTTTTAGCAACGTTTAATTTAAAAACTGTACTTTTGTGGTTAAACAGATGTTCAGAATTAATTTGAATAAATTACAAGTTAGGAAGGGCATGGACATGTATTTTTTTTATATTGAAAAAGTATCGATCTGTGAATACAGATGCATGTATTGTTGCAGCCCTAAATGTACACTCACAAACACTCTTGTTTTTGTCTTTTTTTTTTCGGTACCGTAAAAAACAACCAGACCTCTGACATGACTCTACTTCAGTTATTCCTGGTTGCACAGCCACACTATCACGATCAGATACCGCTCGACCCTCTCCCAAAACAGAAACACAAATAGCAACAAGCGGTAAATCAGTATCACACGTTAATGTCGACCCTGTTTTAATTATTGGACCGATACCAATACGCTAAAAAATTACCAATGTTGGCTGATACTGATGTTAATGCCGATATCATGTGGATCACTAAAAACATTTAAATCTCTCCAGCATGTCCTGGGTCTTCCTCTGGGTCTCCTCCCAGTTAGACATGCCTGAAGCACCTCCTAGGGAGGCATCCAGCAGGCATCTTTACTATGCCCATACCACCTCAACTGGCTCCTCTCGATGTGGAGGAGCAGCGGCTCTACTCTGAGTCTCTCCCGTATAACTGAACTTCTTACCCTATCTCTAAAGGAGAGTCCAGCTACCCTGCAGAGAAAACTCATTTCAACCGCTTGTATCCGCGATCTTGTTTTTTCAGTCACTACCCTAAGTTCGTGACCATAGGTGAGGGTAGTAACTGATCGGTAAACAGAGAGCTTTGCCTTACAGCTCAGCTCCCTCTTCACCACAATAGACCGGTACAGATTCCACAAAACTGCAGAAGCTGCACCGATCTGTTTATCAATCTCACGCTCCATTCTTCCCTCATTCGTGAAAAAGACCCCAAGATACTTGAACTCCTCCACTTGAGGCAGAACTTCACCCCCAACCTGGAGAGAGAAATCCAGTACCCATCTTCTTCAGTACCCATAAAACACCTTACCGGGGAGGCTAAGGAGAGTGATGCCCCTGTAATTGGAGCACACCCTCCGGTCCCCCTTTTTAAAGAGRGGAACCACCACCCCAGTCTGCCAATCCAGTGGCACTGCCCCCRATGTCCACGCARTGTTGCAAAGGCGTGTCAACCAGGACAGCCCCACAACATCYAGAGCCYTGAGGAAATCAGGGCAGATCTCATCCACCCCTGGAGCCCTGCCGCCATGGAGCTTTTTAACTACCTCAGCGACCTCAGCTCCAGTTATGGACAGACCARCCCCAAAGTCCTCAGACTTTGCTTCCCCCATAGAAGACGTCCCGGTAGGATTGAGAAGTTCCAAGAGGTATTCCTTCCACCTCCCGACAACATCACTTGCTGAGGTCAGCAGCACCCCACCTTCACTGAGCACAGTTAGTGAAGTGCTGCTTCCCCCACCTCAGCCACCGGATGGTTTGGCAGAATCTCCTCGGAGCCAATCGGGAGTCTTTGTCCAAGGCCTCACCGAACTCCTCCCACATCCGAGCTTTTGCCTCAGCAACAGCCAGGGCTGTGGCTCGCTTGGCCTGCCGATACTCCTCAGCTGCCTCCAGAGTCCTACCAGCCAACAAGGCCAGATAGGAGGCTGTAGAGGTGCTTGTGGAAAAGGGGCAAAAGTTGCCAATTTTTCAATCAGGTTGAGGGCGGGTCTTAATGTTGGCCTGTTTTATCCAATCAGAAGTTCAGTCGTCTCTGGTTTGAAGGTCTCACCTTGACTCTTCCAAATAAACCTCTTGTCATTTTGGACAAATATCTCAGTGTTTATTTCCTCTGACCACAAAGCTTCTCCCTGTGGGCCACTGCTATTCATTTCTGTCCAGCTTCCTTTTTGATTGGTACCTTCTCAGTTCATGCTAATGTAAAACTGGTTTCAGTGTACAGGGACACTAGTAGTTTACAGTTCATGGCAGGCTTCATGGTTCCTGAACATGCTGAGCAATTTCCTTACACCTGAGAGGGACAGATGTGTTTTGATTAACTAATCCAGTGCTGCCATAAAAATCCTTTTTCTGTTGGCAAAGACAGCCGACGGTTTTTGTTTTTGAAAACTCAGGTCAAGTTTAAAAGTCTCGGCTTTGTCGGGCTAAGACCTTCTAGAACTTTAAGAAACACTCAACAGGTTGTATGTATAGTTTTGACCTTGGGTTGGAGAAAATCCACAGTAAATTCAATATTGTATTTAAAATTTTTCAGTTTTCTGTTGTCTGATGGTTTTACCTTAAGAAGACAACAATTCCAATAAAACTTTACAATTAAAGGCTCAAAATGAAATAAATTCATACTTGTGATGAGTAGATGGAAACTTGTGGCCACAGCTGTAGTTTTAAAGTCTTCATGACTTCAGTGAGTCTCAGGATGTTTGTTCTGGAGCGATCTCAGCCCTGATCTGTCAGAACCAGTAAACGGGTGCTGCAGGGTCAGATTTTCACCTCTTCGGCAAAGCTTCAGACCAACAACGTGTCAGTTGTGAACTCACTCGGCTGTATCTGCAGCTGTTTGTTTCAGTTTCATGTTTTCACACCAAACGGCTGACGTGTTCTGGGTTTTTCTGGTTTTAGCCCAAACCCACGAAGGGCCGGATGAGGATCCACTGTCTGGAGAATGTGGACAAGGCTCTGCAGTTCCTGAAGGAGCAGAGGGTTCACCTGGAGAACATGGGCTCCCACGACATCGTGGACGGGAACCACCGACTGACTCTGGGACTCATCTGGACCATCATCCTCCGCTTCCAGGTACAGGCTCATCAGTCCATGCTGGACATGTTGGGGGGTTGGTCAGTGTCAAAGATGGAGCCTGCCGGTTCTCTCACCTGTTCACATCTCGTGTTTCCACAAAAACATAAATACCTGCTCTGTTTGTGTCGTCTTATGCAACAATTAGCCACCATTTGACCACTTTGTGCTTTTAGCTACCCTTTTATTACTTTTAGCTACCTTTAGCTCTTTTAGGCTAAAGGTTTTGCCAAGTTTACCTACTGTTTTGCTGATTTTAGTTTTAGCATTTCTTGTTAGTTTTAGGAACAGCTTTGATGTTTTAGCTACTATTTTACTAATGATAGGTTATGCATCTGTATTGTTACGTTTAGCTATATTTTGCTGTTATAACTTCTATTTAGCTGTTATCTACATTCAGAAACATTTTGCCCACTGTAGCCTCTAATTTGCTTATTTTACCTATTGGTTTGCTAATTTTAGGTTTAACATGCTCATTATAGCTAGCTAGTGTTTTAGCTTTTAGCTACTGTTGTGCTGCTTTTATTTTATATGTTGTGCTCTGCTGCTTTCAGGTTTTAGCTTATATTCTGCTTGTTTTAGCTTGTATTCTGCTTGTTTTGGCTTGTGTTCTGCAGGTTTTAGCTTGTGTTCTGCTTGTTTTGGCTTGTGTCCTGCTTGTTTTAGCTTGTGTTCTGCAGGTTTTAGCTTGTGTTCTGCTTGTTTTAGTTTATATTCTGCTTGTTTTGACTTGTGTTCTGCTGGTTTTAGCTTGTATTCTGCTGGTTTTAGCTTCTGTTCTGCTTGTTTTAGCTTGTGTTCTGCAGGTTTTAGCTTGTTTTCTGCAGGTTTTAGCTTGTGTTCTGCAGGTTTTAGCTTGTGTTCTGCTTGTTTTACCTTGTGTTCTACTTGTTTTACCTTGTGTTCTGCTGGTTTTAGCTTGTATTGTGCTTGTTTTAGCTTATGTTCTGCAGGTTTTAGCTTGTGTTCTGCAGGTTTTAGCTTGTGTTTTGCAGGTTTTAGCTTATGTCCTGCTTGTTTTGGCTTATGTTCTGCTTGTTTTGGCTTGTGTCCTGCTTGTTTTAGCTTGTGTTCTGCAGGTTTTAGCTTGTGTTCTGCTTGTTTTGGCTTATATCCTGCTTGCTTTGGCTTGTGTTCTGCTGGTTTTAGCTTGTGTTCTGCTAGTTTTGGCTTATGTCCTGCTTGTTTTGGCTTGTGTTCTGCTGGTTTTAGCTTGTGTCCTGCTTGTTTTGGCTTATGTCCTGCTTGTTTTGGCTTGTGTTCTGCTGGTTTTAGCTTGTGTCCTGCTTGTTTTGGCTTATGTCCTGCTTGTTTTGGCTTGTGTTCTGCTGGTTTTAGCTTGTGTCCTGCTTGTTTTGGCTTATGTCCTGCTTGTTTTGGCTTGTGTTCTGCTGGTTTTAGCTTGTGTCC